ACTACAGGTGCCCTGCCTAGCTGGTGCTGAGTGTGAATCACGACCCAGCTCAGCCGCAAAGAGAAGGCCACACAGCCACCACCATCGAGGGGACCAAGGGACTTCAAGGCAGTCTCTAAGGCCCATCAAGGAGTGGAAAAACCCTGGGACACGGTGTGTAGGCCCATGTGTGTGACACGATGCCATTCATGTGAGAAGGAGTATGTGTGGAATGACAGCATTAATGTGACAAAGGCTCTTCTGTGGGAACAGGTGTGTGTGACAGACAGAAGCCTGGAAGACCAGATCCAAGGCCATGTCCTGGACTAGATCCTAGAGCAGACAAGGCACAGAGTGGGCAACCAGTGGCATCTGAATGTCACGTGAAGTGTGGTCAACAGTGACAGTGCTGATGGGACCACAGACAATGTTAAAGAGCAGGAGAAATGGATGCTAGCTAGGGCTGAAGTCTATAGTTCTAGGTAAATTCCAAAATAGAAGTTTAATTTTTTTTGTTTTTAAGAGAATTTTTAGTATGTAAGTCGTTTCTTGTAGTGATTTGAAAAAGTATAAGAATATATGAATAAAGTTTAGTACTTTAAGATTTACTTTTGTAAAAGCATGTTGACAAATACTAAATGTTTTATCTGTATTTAAACATTAAAACAAATATAAAACACAAAAATCCAATGTTAATACTGATCTTCCATGTCTAACTGGGATTTAGATATTAATTTATATTTTATAGAAAGAAACTTAAACTTTCAATGCTCCCAATGAATATACTATCATTCTGTACTAAAACCATCACTGAAATTTAGAAAGTTGGTGTTACGAGTTAGAAGTTTAATTTGGAAAGAAATTTTAGAACAGCAAAACCAAGCCATGGTGCCAGAGGCTGGAAAGTCGGGACTTTTAGAGATACTGCAGGGGTGTGTGTGTGGGGGGGACAGTTACAGAAAGTCAAGGAGCTGGAAGGTTCCACATCCTGACTTTGGGTCACATGGTAAGCACCGATATGAACAGTCATCAACCTGGACACTTAGGAGATGACGTGCTCTTTACTATGGGTGTATCTCAGTTTTACAAGCAAAGCATGAGGCTGGTGTGATTGTGCATTTCTGTAATCCCAGCCCTCTGGAAGGCTGAGGCAGGAGGACTGAAAGTTAAACCTAGCCCAGATAATTTAGTGACTCTTAGCAGGACCCTATCAACATTTTAAAAATGGTCAGGATGATATGTAGCTTAGGGTGAAGGCTCTGGGTTCCATCCCCAGCACCACAAAACAAACACACCACCAGGCAGCTATGCCAGGCTCCCAGTAGGAGATATTTGGCTGCCACAAGAGCAGAGAGCCTTTGAGTCGATGCATTTCCAAAACTGTTCTATAGAATGCATTCATTCACCCAGCACGCATTTTTCTTTTGGCTGTGCAGAGGATTGAATTCAGGGCCTCATCCATGCTAAGCAAGCGCTCTTCCGCTGACTCACACCTCCAGCCCTTAACTGCTTTGCAGGGAACACGGAGTGTGAACACAGGAAGGGCACAGACCCTAAGCACCTGGCTCGGCATCTTCACAAACAAACCTGAGTCGTCAGCCCTGAGATCCAGACACACGACTGACACCCTCACCCCACAAGAGGCTCATTTCTCACTCATTATCTCAAATTCTGCCTTAACTGGGTTTTGTTTCTGCTTCTGCTCTTAAGCTCCACATGGACCCTCACCCTCCAGGCCTGATTTTCCCTGAGTCACCACCCCCTGCTGTCCTGGCTTCTCAGAACACCTATGTATTCAGATGCTGTTTGGGAACTGAAATGCTAATACTGACTTTAAAAAGCCAGCAGGATCAATGATCTGCAGAGCAGAGTTCCAAGGTTTCTAGGGACGGATAGCTCTTACCCATCTCCCTCAGGCCAAGCCCCCTCTTCTATTAAAAGCAGGGTGCGTCCAGCAAGGGCGCTGGACACAACAAGTACAGAAGGGGAACTGATCCCAAGGACCCTGGGCGCGGTGGTGAACAGCTACAATCCCAGCACTCGGAAGGCTGAGGCAGAAAGACTGCTGTGAGTGCCAGAGTTCAGTTCCAGCCTGAACTGGACAGCAAAATGTGCCCCAAAAAATAAGTGAATGAATGAATGAATGAACGAATGAATGAATGAATTTCCAAGACCCCACAACACTCCGTGGCTGTATAAATGGCAAATGGAAAGAGGGTTATCCTGGGCATAGATTTCCCGCCACCTGATGAGACTACTTTTGCCAGATCTGGGAAAAAGCTAGAAATCACCTCATCCCGAGTGGGAGTTCCAAGAACAAACAAACAACCCCCCCCAGTCACAGTGATTAATACTGAGCACTTTTAATGCACTTTCTGATGTAATCTTCATGACCACCCAATTAGATGAATGCATTATCCCCATTTTACAGATGAGAAAACTAAGATTCAGAGAGGTGAAGTCTACCTAAAGTGCCATAGCTGGCATGGATTCAAACCTTGGCTTGTCCAGTAACAAAGCTCTGGGCAGGGGCTCAGGAGCTGGCTCAGTGGAATAAACACTTGCCTGGCAAGCACAGTGGCCTGAGTTCAATCCCCGGTTCTGCAAAAAACAAAACAAAACAAAAAAGCTCTGGGCTACCACATTAGATTCACATGAGGAGCAAGGAAACCCAATATTCCTCCCGTTCCCAAATCTAACTGGTGACTAATACCTTGCAGACTTGGCCCCTCTGTGTCAAAGCTCTCTGATTTTTTTTTTTTTTTTTAAACCGGGGACTGAACTCAGATCCTTGCACTTGCCAGGCAAGCGCTTATTCTACTGAGCCATCTCCCTGGCCCCAAAGTTCTCTGATCTTGCCTTCAGTATTGCCAAGAAGTATGGAACAAGTCCAATTTCTTTCACCAGAGCTATGTTCTTCCTCCTCTAAAGCCTATCAGAGTTTCTCTTGATTCCTGGAGTACATAAATTTTGTCAGAATATACTTTAGTGTGTACACCAGCGTGAATTGTTTTTTGGTTGTTGTTCTTTTTTTTTTTTTTTTTAAATCTTTTTGAGACAAGATCTCATTGTACAATTCAGGCTGACCTTGAATTCACAGTCTGTAGCTCAAGCTAGTCTTGAACTCACACTGATCCTCCTGCCTCAGCCTCTCCTATGCTGGGATTATAGGCACAGCCACCAAGCCCAGGTTTGTTTTGCGTTATGACAGGGTCTCGCTATACAGCTCAGGCTGGCCTTGAGTTCCTCATAGTGCAGAGTGGCCTTGAAGACCTAGCGGTCTTCCTGCCCAGGATTCTAGTCTTCCTCACAAAGTCTCCAGGACCTTGAGATGGGAGATGATCCTGTATTTGGCAGCAGGGCCAACGCAGTCACAGGGTCCTCACAAGATGGGAAGGAAGTAGACAAATCGGAGCACTTGGATTCAGAGGCTGGAATGATGCAGACACCAGCCAAGGAATGTGGGCAGCCTCTGGGAGCTGGAAAAGGCAGGAGGATTCCCATGAGAGCCAGTGGGCGGAACACAGCCCCTCTGGCCATTTGCTATTTCTGATCTCCACCAGTACTGTCAGAGAATAAATATGTGCTGGTTTAATCGGCTGGTTTACCATAATATTTTTTATAGCAGCAACAGGAAATGAATGTTCTCAGAGTTGCCCTCTGCTAGGCCCGGTCTTCACTCTGCCTTCGGAAAGCCTCGATCCTGCAGTTACTTTACTCTCGGGCCCAGCGGTGCTCAGATCTGGGTGCACTCTCTGCTGTAGGAATCCCAGGGTCAGCAAAGGGGAACTCCAAGGGGAGGGCCCTCGGCCACCAGCCTGGAGGCACCCACGGGACCCCTGCCTCCACCCCAGGCACTCTGGAAGCAGAGGCTGAAAAGCACCTCTCAAGTCTACACAGACTCAAACCCCAAATTCTCCCGGGGATCTCCACTCCCAGAATCTTGTCTCTGGCTTGTGGGAGGAGATAACCCAGCCCATGGGTAATTTTAATTTTGAAAATGTACTAATAAATTAGTAGGGGCGAGGAGAAACTGGGTTTCCAGCCCCCTCCGCAGACCCCATGGCCCGGCGTACAATAGTGGGGCCCCAAGCCCACGAGGCTGCGGCGCTGGCGCGACCCCCTCAGCCCTCCCTCTTGGGCCTGTCACGCTGTCCACGTTCCAGATGAGGAACCGAGGCGTTGGGTGATTCGGGGCCCCTGAAACCCGCACGCCCGAGCAGAACAATGTCTCTTCCTTGCCTCCCGAAGTTACGCGTCTCCTCAGCTGGTGCCTCTTGGAGACACACAAAGTCACCCGCAGCCCCTGTGGGGCTCGAGCCACCGTGCACCTGACCGCAGCTCCTCACCCTAGGCGCTCTCCACACCCGAGGCGACAGCGGCACTCTCTCGGTTAGGCTGCGTGCGCTCCGACTGCTGACAGGGAACGCGGACGAAAACCCGCGGCAGGCCAGCTAACCGCGGGAGAGATCACCGTGGTGGGCTTGGCACAGGATCGCATTTAACACGAGCCAGGGCTGGAGATATAACTCAGTGGGATGAGTGCCTTGGCAAGCACCAGGTCCCGAGTTCAAACCCTGGTTCCACAAAAGAAAAAATAAAAATAAACAGGACCCCTTGCCCTCTCTGTGCACACGCTCGTACGTGTGTACGGAAGTGCGCACGACACGCACGGCGGCGAGTGCAGGGGCTTACGCGTTTGTTGGTGCATGCGCAGACTTGCTTTTGTCGCCACGTCTGCGCCTGTGGTTGGCGTGTTGTCCGTGTGCGCATGCGTTGGCGCGCTCGTCTCTGCAGGCGCGTGCATGTATGCGCGCGTGCATGTGTGCACACGTGCGGGAAGCATTCGCTGTTAGAAGTTCCGTTCGAAGAGTAATCCCACCCTATCTGTGGTTTGAGAGAGGAAATAGCCACACATTATTATTATTATTATTATTATTATTAATTTATTTATTTGTCACAGCAACGAATGACCCTTGGATTTGGCTCCCAAAATTGAGATTGTTTCTGAGAAGGGTTTGAGTGGCATCTGCCATGTCCTCTGGGCCGGTCTGGAGCTCGTCTCCTTTCAGCCAGGGGAAACCTAATAAAATTTCTCTCTCTCTCTCTCTCTTCGTTCTGAAAACTCCATCCTTCTGGGTCCTTTCTGTTCATCCTTCCAGGAGGTTTCTGCTGTCCCTTCCTCAGGGATATACACCTGGACCCCATCTGGAACAGCTCTGCTTGGTCACCACCATGCACAGCGAGCTCATTTCTGCGTGGTGTCTGTCACTGCTTGGAAGGTCTGGGGTTGTGCACTGGTTTATTTCCATCCATCTGCCCCTGGCAAGGAAGCTCCACTAAAGAGGGTCAGATTTTTGTCACCTGGGGTTAGCCCCCACACACAACTTGCCCCCCTCGCTCCTGCAGAATGTGAGTGCTAGTGCGGCCCCAAACCCTGTGCCACACCCCAGGAGGGAGCAAATAGTCTTTGAGGCAGGGACTTGATGCTCAGGCCTCATGCCTGCAGCCCCTGGATAAGCCCTGCCTGAGTTCCCTGCCTGAGCAATCCCACCCTCCTCTCAGACTGCTTTGAGCCTGTGGAGGAAGCCTCCTCACCATAAGACCTGGCTTCAGTCAGATCTGCAATGGGCCCCATCCACTCCCGCTCCAGAACTCCATGGCCCCGGGAAGCTCACTTTGCCTCTCTTAGCCTCAGTTTCCACAGGTCCCCAGCCCACAGGGGGTTGGTCCTTTTAGTACGAGCAGGAAGCACACCTACATGGTGTGTGACACACGGCAAGCACTTGGTAAGCAAGAGCTGTCAGCTCTTTAGTCAGTCAGCAGGTATTTGTTGCCGAGCAGCTGCTGGGCACCAGGCAGGAGACAGGAGCTGGAGAGGAGAATGGAAGAGGACCTCGCCTGGGAAGGTCCTGACTGGACATCAGCACCCAAAAAAACAGGGAGTGAGCTGCACCGGATGCTGGGGACAGGTAGATGCTCCAGAAGAAGGCAAAGCAGAGAAGGGAGGCAGGAGTGGGGGTGACTGCAGGGGAGCAGACCGCTGGTGTAATGGCCGGGGGTCTGCCCATGCCTGATGCTGCCAAAAGGCTCACAGTCTCCTCTTGCTTTTTCTCTCCCAAAATTGACAAGCACAAGTGCCGCCCTCCCGAGAGCACACAGCATCTCTCCCCATGACCATGACCCAGCCGCGGCCTCTTTAACCTTGAATGCATATTTGGGTCTCACGTGTCACTGGGAAGCGGTGGCAGCCAGCAGAGCAGCCCTTACTTCAGAAGAACGGCATGGGGTGGGGGGGCCTTAGGTGGTGTCCGCCTCACCTATTACGGCCAAAAGTGGTCATGGGGTTATTTTTAAACCCAGGGAGGAAGTATTTATTGTTTGCAGGCGCAGGAGAGCTGGGGCGTGTGGGATTCTTCTCGGGAGGCCTTGCTGGGTCCCAGCCGCCATGGTGAGTCTCCACAGTGATGCTGGGGCCCAACAGGACCAGGGTGGAGCGGGACAGGGGTGGCTTCGGGGCCTCCAGCCCCCAGGGGCGAGGGGCCCAGCCATGCACTAGAGGAGGAGCCCGTCGTTGCCCTGATCGGCCACAAATAACAGCAGCTCCTGGAGATCACAAAAACAAAATAAGAGTTGGCTTTTTTATGACTTGTCTACTGACCTCTTGAGGAATCAATAACTCCCAGGGCTTGCAAAATGGGATCGAGCGCTTTTAAGAATCAAATTGTAATTCTTTTCTCTCATCCGGGCAGCTGGGGAAAAGATTTTTTTTTTTTCCTTTTCTTTTTTCACCTTTTGAACTTGCAAATGTAAAACCTTTCCTCTTGTATTGCCAGGCAGCTGTCCCCCTGCCAGAGCCCCCAGCACTGGGACAGTGGGTGGGTCAGCAGTCAGGGACACAGACTCTTGGAGTCAGACTATCAGAGTTCCATTTGGACTCTGCCTTTTCTGTGGCTGTGTGACCGTGGGCCAGTGACCTAACCTCTCCGAGCCACAGTTGTATCCCTGGGAAGTGGGGCCAGTAATAAGCGCCTTCACTCGATGGAATAGTTGCTTGAGCGTTCGTTCGCTGGTGAGGTCGGGAGGAGGGGCGTGGGGCAGAGGGGAGCTTGCTCTTGTCTGCGCTGCTGCCGCTGATGTGCAAAGGACATTTACTGCAACTTCCCTGCCATCTGGATCAAAGGAGAGGTCACACCTGGGCCCCCTCACCCACCAGGGGCCTCCTCTAACTGCCACTGTTCCCCCAGGCACCGAAGAAAGCCAAGAAGAGGGCAGAGGGGGCCAACTCCAATGTGTTCTCTATGTTCGAACAGACCCAGATCCAGGAGTTCAAGGAGGTAGGTGGAAGGGCTACCCAGGGAACCCAGGGCCGCACCAGCGAGCCATGCCCCTGCCCTGCTTCCTGTGAACAGCCCTCTGGCATCCTGCCCATGCCCACTGGGGAGGTGTGACTGGACTCCATGTCCCCAGCATTCATCCATGTGTGTGTGGGGGAGTGCTTGGGCAGGGGGTGAGGCAGGGTCTCACCGTGTAGCCAGGCTGGCCTCAAATTCACAACAACCCTCCTGCCTCAGCCTCCTGAGTTCTGGGATTACAGTTGTGCTCCCCACACACAGCTTTGATCTCTGGCTCTTACCCTCACACCCCACCTCCTCCCCAAAGCACTCTTAGACCCTCTGCAGCTCCTGGGCTGACCCGACCTTTCCTTCGCAGGCCTTCACCATCATGGACCAGAACCGGGATGGCTTTATCGACAAGAACGACCTGAGGGACACATTTGCTGCGCTGGGTATGCCCCCCACTTGTCGCCATCTGCTCCCCATGTAGGTCTCCTGCCCTGAACCTTAGCAGTTGGAGGCCACGGCAGCAGAGCCCAACCCCTACCAGCCTTTGAGACAAATGACGAGTTGGGAAAGGGCAGTCTCCTCACATCTTTCCTTTAGCTTTAGAAATAGGTGCTTCTGTGTAATTTTTGAATTCTGCGGCAGCTCACAACAGAAAACTTACAACATGCAGGCAGGCTACAGTCCACTGCTAACATTTTGATGTCTTTTCTCCAAGTCTCTCTAGGCCTGTTTTTGGTTTCTCAAATAATTGAGGTCACTCTATTTTGGGTTCAGCTTTATTTAACATTTCAATAGCGTGAGCAGGAGTGCACGAGTTTTCAAAATGCACATGTCCAATCAATCACTGCCAGCATCACTAAGTCCTACCCTCAGATCCAAGACCACCATGAACAGCTGCGCAGGTTGGGCACTGCACAATTCCACAGGGCGCCATGTTTGTAGTTATCACTTTTTACATTTAAAACACAAACTGACTTAAGAAGGGGCCACCTTTTCATGTGTGTGGACCACAAAGCTGCTCCGTGGGTTTGTGCCAGGACAGCAGGTGTGCCAGACTCGCTAATGCTGTAGGCGACTGCGGGTGTAATTGGAAAAGTTTCCTCAGGTGATTCTGATCAGGTTCTCCGCTTCCCACTAGGAAGGGTTCATTTACAATACCAGCACTTTACGTTTCAGTCAAAAATTAGCCTGAGTGCTAATGCATTCCTGTCCTCCCAGCACTCAGGAGGCAGAGGCAGGAGGGCTGGTGTGAGCTCAAGGCCAACCCTGGGCTACACAGTGAGTTCAAGGTCGGCCTGGAATTCAAAAGGAAACCCTGTCTCCGGAGACCAAAAAATAGTAAATCTGCCCAATGATGTCAAGCTCTGAGGACGCGGCTTTAAAGACAACTCACCGCCACCCCCTTGGGCCATCTCATAGTCCTTTGCCCCCGCCCCGCCCCTGACTTTCATGGACTAGAGTCCTCGGGATGGGTGACAAATGTCGGCCCGACAGCCCCTCCCCAGCTCTGAGTCCTGCGTGTCCGCGCAGGGCGCGTGAATGTGAAAAATGAGGAAATTGACGAAATGCTCAAGGAGGCTCCGGGTCCAATTAACTTCACTGTGTTCCTGACCATGTTTGGGGAGAAGCTGAAGGGTAAGTGGGCATGCGTGCGTGTGGCGCACGTGAGCAGCCGTGCGTGGAGCGTGTGTGCGTGCACACGCATGCGCAGAGAGGACGCGGGGGGGGGCGCTGCGTGGCTCTCCAGGTGTTGGGGACGCAGGCCCCGCTTGTGGGGGGCCATGCCTAGCAAGTTCCAAAACACAATTCCGATCTCACCACATGTGGCTTCCTAAAGCGGGTGTGTCCCTGTATTTCCAAGGCTGAGGCAGGATGATCTCCGTGAGTTCAAGGCCAGCTTGGGCTACATGGATCAAAATACCCAACCCCCGACTCTGTCGGCCTCGGGCCAGCCCTTGTCTCCCGTGTTGGGCCAAGGGTTCCCTGAGGCCCAGGCCTCCCCGGCTCCCTTTCAGGTGCGGACCCCGAGGAGACCATCCTCAACGCGTTCAAGGTGTTTGACCCTGAAGGCAAAGGCGTGCTGAAGGCTGACTAGTGAGTGTGTTCTGGGGGCGAGGGGACCCCGGCCTCCTCCTCCCCGATCCCTGACACGGCCCTGCTTTCCTCTCCACAGCGTCCGAGAGATGCTGACCACACAGGCGGAGCGGTTCTCCAAGGAGGAGGTAACGGGATCCTCTGGGTGCTCCCCGAAACCCACGCCGGGCTCGGCCCTCACTGAGAACAGCCACTGCTTACCTGGCCCTTGACTAACTCTCACTCCCTCCATCTCCCATGAGCCCGGTGCCCCTGTCAGTTTGTAGATGGAGCAACCGAGGCCAGGGGAGGCTTAAGTCCTTGCCAAAAATGACAACACTAAAATTTGAACCCACTCTGTCTTCCCCACAAGGCAGAGGCAAGAGTTAGAGCATCCGTGTCTTGTGCCCTGAGGGGCTGCCCCATGCCATTGATCTTACAGTGGGCATCATAGAGTGTGTTTTTGTTGCAGGCATTTTTCAACAGCCAACAGTAATGTGTCTGGAGGAAGGGCCGCTTGGCAGTTTGCCAAAGGCGCTGCAGGGCCAAGTCGTGGTCCCTGGCAAAAGTAGTAATTAGACTTAATGAGTCTATTTAAAACAGTGCCTTGGGACTTCTGAAGTCTGTTTTCATCAAGTTCTACACTTTATTAAAAATTGTATGGCGCATGCCTGTAATCCCATCACGCAAAAGGCTGAGGCAGGAGGCTGGCCAAGAGTTCGAGACCAGCCTGGGCTCCAGAGTGAGTTTAGAGCCAGTCCAAACTACATAGTGAGACCCTGACTCGCAAAAAAGAAAAACTATAAGCCATGCATGGTGGCTGATGCCTGTCACTCTGGTGCTGGAGGCTGAGGCAGGAGGACCACAAGTTTGAGGCCAACTTGAGCAACTTGATGACCCAGTGGGACCCTGTCACCAAATTAAAAATGGCCCAGAGATGTAGCTCCACCAAAGATTCTGGGTTCAAGCCTCAGGGACACATGCACACGTACGCGTGCACACACACGCACACACCTAGATGTAGAGCCCAGATCATCCTGCCCGTGCCCCCAGCGTCCCCTGACGGCTGTTCGCAGATCGACCAGATGTTCACAGCCTTTCCGCCCGATGTGACGGGCAACCTGGACTACAAGAACCTGGTGCATGTCATCACACATGGCGAGGAGAAGGACTGAGCGTTATGGGCACCGTCTCTGCCTCTGTGGCCACCCGGAATGTGGCTTGGTTGGCAACCTTATCCGGGGCTGCTGTCAAATAAACAGGATGTGGCAAACCTGACCTGGGTCCTCTGCCTTCCAAGGCGCCTGTTGTGGAACTGCACATAGGCGGCTGGGGCCCTGCTGCCCACCTTACCCGCTTCCCTGGGGTGCCAGGGAGGAACCCTTGCAGAGGAACTGAGCTAGGCCAGGGATGGCTGGCCAGCGCGTGCACATGCTCCTGAGGGCAGAGACGGGCTCCTGGCCACGGGGCGGGGGCGCTCATTTCTGGTCCCAAGCTGACCTGACTGCAGTGACCAGAGCTACAGCCCCAGCAGTCAGGCCCACAGTGGCGACAGAGTCCCCAGATGGGCGCGCCGTGACGGAGCCCAAGGCTTCAGGGGTAGCTCAGTGGTGGCCAGAGGCTCCCTCCCAGCTGCACCCTGTACCCTCCTGCCCCTCACAACCCGGTATACATGGACAGGTCTGTCCGTCTTCCCAGCCGCTGCACAGTTGGGAACTAGGCCCTGGGCTGGGGGTACCTGCCCTGACCTGGGGACCCGCAGCTCAGTCATGTCATTGGCCAAGGGAGGGGGAATGGCTGTAGGATTGTAGCTGGGGTCTTGGGAAGGAACTTGAAGCAGGGTATCCTGGGGTTCAGAAATCACACAGTGCGGCTGGGAAGGATCTGTGCACAGCTCTGGGGTGACCCCCTGGCCCCTGAGAGACACCACTCATTTACACAGACAAGCACACACAGCCGCCCGCTGGAGACACACAGCCACTGTGGCCCGAGACCCGGCTGTGAGCACCCGCTGTGCCCTGTGTGGCCCTGGGGTCTCCGGAGCAGCATACTGACCAAGTGTGGTGGCACACACCTGTGACCCAGCAGTCTGGGAGGCTGAGGCAGGAGGATTTCAAGTTTGAGCCCAGCCTGGGCAACTGAGAGCCTGTCTCAAAAAATAAAAAGGGCCGGGGGTGTTACGCACATCTGTAATGACAGCACTCTGGAGGCTGAGACAAGAGGATCACAGTGAGTTTGAGGTCAGCCTGAGTTACAGAGTGAGACCCTGTCTCAAGAAGTCAAATAAATAAGAATTAAAAAGATAAAAAGGGCTGGGGATGTAACTCAGTGCAAAACCTGTGAGTCCAATATTTAGTAACTAAGAACAGATCAGTGTTTGGTGTGCAACGCAGCCTCGGCATTTTGCTAGTCCTTGCACTGTCTGAGGGCCCAGGCTGGTCACCTTCCGGGGATCCTCAGGGACAGCACAGATCTGCCCATGCCTCCCTCCCGCGGCGGCTGTGAGCCCGGCCCTTTGCCCCGCACCAAGCTCGGCGCCCAGGACTCCCACCACTGGTCGTGCAAAGGCCCAGAGTTTGCAGAACAAAACATCTATTCTTTCCACTCTGGTACAAACGCGGCTGCCGGTCTCAGAGCGTCAGCTTCTTCTTGAGCCTTAGCTCGTCGCTCTTGTCGGAGAGCCCGTCGGGGTGCAGCTCCTTGTTCCGGGCCTCCCTGGAGAGGTACGTGTCCACCACGAGCTGCCGCAGGCTGCTGTGCTCCAGGGGGTGATCGACTGCCAGAGAGAGAAGGGTGAGGAGCCCGGACTGACGGGGACCACCATGGCATGGGAAACGCCCTTGGGGCTCTGGCGGGGCGCTCGGGCTGATTGTCCTTCCAGAAATGCCCAGACAACTGACTTGTTTCCTCCCAGAGAACAGTGTGAGGAGATGGGGCTACGATGTGCAGCTGTTAAGAACGTGCGCTCGCAAGGCTGTCGTGTCCCTGTGAGGGCCGCATTGCCAACAGCTGCACCCAGCCCCTCATAGGAACTCGAGGGGCTGGGGACACCGTGCTGAGGTGGGGGAACCTCACCAGCTGCCGCGGATCAGCTGTCACCTTTTTTTTTTTTTTTTTAAATGGAGATGCTCTCGATAAGCTGCCCAGGCTGGACTCTAACTTACAGTCCTCCTGCCTCAGCCTCCCGGAGTTCTGGGGTCACAGGTGAGCCCCGCAATGCTTGGCAGCCATAATTGCAGAAAATAGCCCAGCAGAATAAAGCTCAGAGCTCCGTAGCTGAGTCACAGGGACAGTCTCCCCGGAATAGCACGGGACAACCACACAGCAGGGGGGCTCCCAAGGGGTCTCCTGCAGGGGAAACGGGCAAGCGTGGTGCCGCAGACCCGGCAGGCCCCGGGCCGGCAGAACTCACAGTCCTCCAGCCGCTCGCTGAAGGGGTCGGCCCCGAACACGGGGGGCACCACCTTGACAGGCTCAGGGGGCTTGACGAGCACGGAGCCGACCCAGAACGGGTTGATGAAGGGCTGCGGGGCCTCGGCCTCGGGCCCCTCGGCCTCCATTATGCGGCGGTGGGACTCCAGCAGCAGCAGGTCGTTGGTCCGCTTCTCGATGGTGGCTGCAAGACCGAAAGTCACCCTCTCAGGGCAGCGCTGGGCCTCAGAGGCCACACGCCCCGCCTCCTACTCGCACGTAGCCCAGAGGCCCACACGAGCGCCCTAACCTGCAGGATTGCCCTGCTGGCAAGTCTCAGTGGTGCGGTAATGAAACTTTTCCCAGTCAGCTCTGCTCCAGCCTCTGCACCTTAGCCTACACCATTCCTTTTGCCTGATATGCTGTTCCCTACACTCCTCTGGGAATGACCCTGACTGGTCTTCACTCTCCAAGCCACTGTTATTTTATTTGAAAATCAGGGACCACAAGTACTTTATCTGCAGTGGAGCCAGATAGTGGCATATGGTCCAGAGCCCACTACTCGGGAGGCTGAGGCAGGAGGATCACTGTGAGTTCAAGGCCAGCATGGGCTACATAGTGAGACTGTCTCCAAAACAAAACAATTATTTGCACCTGAAATTTGGTTTTAGTCCTTAGGATTCTCATAGATTGAAAGTGTGAAGCCTACATCCTACACAGAGGGATCAGAAATGTCAGCTCCTAGGGCTGCCACGAATGGTGGTGACAGGGCAGCTTCAGATGGGGCAGGAGATAGAGGCCCACCTGCGGGTAGGGCAGAAACTGCGATCTGAAAATGAGGATGTGCGGGGCGCAGGACAGGTCTTTCAGGAACAGCAAAGGCCCTTGGGTAGGAGGAGGGGTGGGGTGGGTGCAGTGTGGCGTGGCTGCCGTGCGGCGGCGCAGAGCCCCGGGAGTGCAGGACGACTGGAGAAAGCCAGGCAAGGAAGCTGCGAGGTACAAAGTCCGGGGAAGGGGCGGGGCGCAGGGCGGCGCGGGAGCGGGGCTCACCGAAGTACTGCAGCAGGTTGGTGTCTGTGACCTTCCCGGTCTCCCCAAGCTGCACCAGGATCCTGCTGGCGTCGCAGTTGGTCTTCTCAAACAGGCTCTGCACCGCCCTCTTGAGGCGGTCCAAGGTCTTGTTGATCTCCTGGGACCTGCTCTCGTACTCGCTCACCTCCGCCGAGGTCTTCCTCAGCTTGTCCTGGGGACAGAGCCGCGCCACCATCAGCCTCCCTTAGGGGTTCCCCACGCTTCAGACCTCTGCCATGCAGCTCCAGGCGGCCGGATTTCAGCCCTCTGAGGGTCTGGAGCCAACTGAATGATCTCCCATGGGCATTTTCAAAAACTGAAGTAAGAGTTGTGCCACACGCCTGGAATCCCAGCAGGGAGGCTGAGGCAGGAGGATCTCCCTGAGGTCAAGGCCAGTCTGAACTAGAGTGAAACCCTGTCTCAAAAACTCCCAAACAAATAAGAATGAAATAAAATAGAGTAGAAAAGAAAGGAAGAACACTTAGGACTACAGAGCTACATGCTGTTTCATGGGCATGCATATACTTCATGTGTGCTGAGCTCTGGGGTCGAAGCCCCAGCTTTCAGTGAACTATGCTCCACCCCTTTTTATCTTTTACTTTGAGACAGGGTCTTGCTAGGCCACTCAGTTGCCCACTCTGGGCTCAAACATGCCATCCTCCTACCTCAACCTCCTGGAGCTCCGGGATCTGAGGCTGGCAGTGCCAGGGTGGTGAGGATTTGAGGTTTTCTCTCTTAGGTAATAAATGAGAAAGATAAAAGCCTCTCCCAGCTCTCTGGGCCGGGAGCGATACAACCTAAGTCACAGCTGGGACTGAAATTCCCATTTTACAGATGAAGAAATTGAGGCTAGAGACGTCACACCACTCTTTCGAAGTCACCCAGCGAGGGAGTAACTGTTCCGGTAGACCACCCTGGGCAGTGGTGCTTCTGCCCCCACGGGGCGGCATGCACCTGGGCAGGTTTGGGGACAGTGCATGCCTTCGCCTATAGACAGACCTGGGTCACCCGGGGCCAGAGAGACAAGAGTCACAAGGGACTCAGGGTCCAGGCCAGGGGCGAGCTGAGAAAGAGCCTGGACCAGCCTGGACCCTAGGTGGCCCTAGAGAAGGTGTGGGACCCCAAATCTGCAGTCTCGATCTCGGATAGGCAGCTCCTTCCACCACGCGTGCTCTGCCGCCCCCTGGTGGCCCGCAGAGATGGTGCAGCCATCCCGTCCACAGTCCCTCACCCGGAGCTGCTGGGATGGAACACGACTCTGGCCAGACGCTCCGAGTTTTGTCAGGGCTCCCATTATCCCTAAGGACAAAACACTGACAGTGCGTGGGCGCCGGCGTGACCAGAGAAAAACCCTATTTCCAACCTCTCCTCCAATGGGGATGGTGAGTTAGATGGTAACACAGAAGTGTTGGTTCAGCCTTAAGAGAAAGAAGCTTTTCTTTTCTTTTTCCTACACTTTCTTCCCGCCTGGAATGTATATATGATGACTAGGTCTGTGACAGCTATGCTGCAAGTACATGTCACCCTTCGGAACATAAGCCACACATTAAAGATGACAAAACAAAAAGCTAGAAGCACCCAGCCACGGTCTGCCCATGTCCAGGCTGACAGATCTGTTCAGCTGGTAATAAAGTGGCCAAAGCAAGAGCAACACAGCCCTTCTGTTAAATTACATCTGCAGGCCAGGTGTGGAGTGCACGCCTGTAATCCCAGTATTCTGGGAGGCTAAGGCAGGAGGATTGCAAGTTCGAGTCCAGCCTGGACAACTCGGTGATTTAGTGAGACTCTCAACAAATAATAACAATTTTTTTTTTCCCGGAACCGGGGATTGAACTCAGGCCCTTGCACTTGCCAGGCAAGTGCTTATTCCACTGAGCCATCTCCCCGGCCCCAATAATAACAATTGTTGTGTGGTGGCACATGCTGAGGCCCTAGGAGCACAAGTTTCAGGCAGCCTGGGCAATTTATGGAGACCCTATCTCAAGAAAGGGCTGGGAACGGAGCTCCGTGGACCAGCATGTGCTTGGCAGGTAGGAGACCCCACACTCCATCCCCAGTGCTGAAAGAAGGAAGCAGCTCCTCCTTGTCACTACTGAGGGCCTCCAGAAGGGTGGGGGTGGCGCAGCCAGGGAGGCCTTCAGGGTGCACAGAGCCACAGACAGGTGTCCTCCTGCTCCTGGAGCCCCATAGGCCTGACCGACAGAGGGACAGATGGATGGATGGATGGCGAGGACGGCCCTCCTGCTCACCTCCAGCTGCCTCAGCGCTGAGCGGCTGTCCTCGTGCACAGATTTCTGCTGGGACTGCAGGCGGAGGATCTCGTCCTGCGGGGAGACAGAGGGTGAGGCCAGGGACGCGGCCACACAGGGAAATGGCTGCCGGGCTAAGGCCGCTGCACCAGGCCGGTGGCTCTGGGGTGAGAACTCGAAGACCTTAGTAGGGGTCTGGACCCTGGCAGGGTGGTGTGAACGCACAGGGCCGTGAGCCACGCCAGAGTGCTGGCCCAGTGAAGTCGCCTTTTTGTTTTCAGTAGGTGCCTTCAGCGCAAAGCGACTCCAGCCCCTGGGAGCCGGACCTCGGACACAACACACTGAATTCTCTCTGCCCCCACCACCCCCCGCCTCCCTCCACCCTCCTCCTCTCAGTTCCCTTCCAGATTGCAAAAGACCTCTGTTGCTGATTGTCTGGTTATTTTTGTTGTTGTTGTTGTTTTTGGTGGACCTGGGGATAGAACTCAGACCCTTGCACTTGCCAGGGAAGCGCTTATCCCACTGAACCATTTCCCCAGCCCCAGCTTTTTGTTTTTTAAAAGACGATCTAGCCACATAATCTGGTTGAGGCTGGCCTCAAACTCACAGTGATCTTCCTGCCTCAACCTCCAGAGCACTGGGATTACAGGTGTGCACCACCAAAGCTGGCTGAGACTGCATTTCTTTCTTTTTTTTTT